CGCGGAGGGAAGATTCGCTGTGGATGTCACGCTCCGGCGCCGTTTCGCTGTGTGGGCCCAAAACATCCTGAAAGATGGTCGGAATGAGATCATTACAGATAAGGCGGGAGTAATGATGCCCTCATGGGTGCTACAACCAGTCCTACACGACACCACGCTCAGCTGATGGGGAAATCACTTTGGTGGTGGGCAAAGAGAAAGACACCCGTGGCACGAACCACCCGTTGGGGCACCCAGATATCGCTTCTCGGATGCAATTATTCCAACAGATCAAATGCATAACGATAGCACCCTGATGGTATGAATCCTGCAACAGTTGCCATGCCTATCACAGATGTGGCACAGAAAAACAGGAAAGCTTGCGAATCTGTGTCAGCGTGTGTTGCCGACATGAACCAAAAGAATGTATTCTATGTGAAAAGGAAATGGCATCCTGTGATGTGGGATCAGTGGAGCACATGGTGTTTTGTCGCCGCCGGCACCGTCCATCTGAAGATAAACGCGACCGCTGCCATGCGGGATCTCGAATGCTCTTCCATGCTTTTGGGTTTGGGCTCGCATAAGATGCCCGTTAGCCCCTGGTGGCAATGTCGAGGCACTTTCCTGTACATTGGAGAATGAAATGCAAGTCAAAAAATGGAAGCAGCGAATATGTTGGATGCGTCAAGTATATTAGATCAGCTTCGGGCAGGTGAAAGTTGCCAAGTCGGTGGCCTGCCCTGAACTGGGAAATGCCGCCGTTTGCGGATTTCCGAGCAGACCTGTCCTCGAAAACGGCGATAAAATTTAAACGGCAATAAATTTAACGCAGTCGGCACAGCCCAAGCACATGAAACGTACCACGCGCATGCGAATATACTACGTAGTATGTGCTCTTGTGTCTGCATTCAAATACACAGCAATTAAATGTGCGTAACCCCACCAGTTTGGGGATGACAATTGTGCCATAGTATGACGCTGGGTGGCGCCATCACAGTGACTGGGGTCGCATAACAGCAGCCGCGGTGGCGTCAACAAGTGTCAATTAGCATTGAACTTGGCATCGCCAGGATGACTTTCTAGTGCTTCGAAGAATGCGCCAATGAGTATGCTGAGGAGGAGTGTGTGTATCATTAGAAGAGATTCCATTATCAAATTTCTCAGGTCACTTTTGGTGTCCTGTAGGCTGGGAGAGGTTGACGCAACGGGGCGAAGCTTGGGCATTTTGAACTGAACAAATTCCTGCCCCTTAGCGCGATCTCAGCATTGAATGATGAAAGGATGCCTCAAATCGTTGTTTGAAGCAAATTTGAGCACAAGGTTGTATGAACATATCGATGGCGACCATTCGATTCGTGACTCTCAAGGCACTGGACAAGTCGAACGCTATACATAACCCTTGCGAATCATTGCTAGTTTCTCGCATACGATTTGCACCAGTCACTGTCGCAGTCGACGGGGCAGACACGTGTCGGGTGCAAGCGGAACTATTGCAATGCAGACAGACGTGCCTTGCAAAACGCACGAGAGGCAATGCGCAACTGTACTAAACATGCCATGCGATAACTCAAGCAAGAGATGGCAAAAATTGTAGCAGAATCGCGGCCCATATCACACGATGTGATTCAAATGCGCCTTAGCCGGGAGGTGGCTAATTGTGATATGCCGCGTGCTGCATATATGCCATGCTCAATTCCGACAAACAGGGTGCCATGTCAAGTTAACGCTACACAAACGCAGAAATGAAACTTGTGGAACGGGTAACAAAATTGCCACCAAGCTCGCACCTGTGTTGCAGGTGTAATGGACGTCCCTAATGAAAGACCGAATGTAATCTTCTGGATCGCGAAGGAGCTGGCACGTGGTGAGGGCAAACTTCACCGAAGGTATGAAACACCTCGGTCCCAGCTCACCGGAACTCCGAAATTCCACAAACCCTGCCCTCGTCCCTTGGAAGCGCTCTTGAATTCTTGCTTCGGCTTTCACGGCTCCGGCATCGTTAACGTACACCTGGGCGCATTGCAGCGGCCGTCGGCGGCACGGAATGGGATATTATTCACTAGCTAGATTGGTTTAGCAACAAATGCGTGCATTAGGAATTGACCTGTTATGTCCTGTATGCTGCAGGGCGCATTTTCGCAGCTCGTTTGCGACGGTTCAAGCAACTTGGATGCGGAAAATGGCGAAGCACTTTCATGCAGTTCAGATACTTTTTGGTCGAGTTGGCAGACCTTCTCTTGTGGCTATGTGTATTGAGTAGAACTGGACGATTTAATGCGTTGCGAAATGCAGGAAGAAACGCCACATTTCGTCAGCACTGCTCATGTACGTTCTGCTAATAGACCGTGTCCCATCCAGCGATGTCTCATCCAGGATCGATATTTACTTTTACCTCACAGTTTTACTTTCAGGCTTTTATGCGCAAACAAGGAAATGACCATATTTACGGCCTTATTTATGCATTTCACGGCTCGTCAACACACCCAGACTATATGATAATGTCCCCAAAAATGATATATCATCCACCCCCTCGAGCACCGGCAACACAGCGTCCATATTTTTGCACCCATTTATGGGCAAATGCAGAAATATTTGCGCATAAGAGGTGTGTATATGGGAGTGTTTGCACCGTACACAACAAGCCTGGATTTAGCTATCACCTAAATTGATATACGTTAGCCAGCAATTTTAGATATTGTCAAATGGAATAAAATGGATTGCGAGTCCCAAATTGTAGCTTCAATGTCAGCAATCAATGTTACGCGTGCACCCGAGTACCCAGAAACACGGATAACCAGGCCGGGTACTGGTCCTTCCTTGTGCCCGCCTACCTGGGTACTTGCCAAGCCTTGTCCCCAGGTAGGCGGGTCCAGGAAATAATGCCTTACTGCCTGCACCAAATCGGTGACTGCTTGCACCAAATCACGTGCACACTGTGCCCTAACCTCAGCTTTAGGGATAGTTTTAGTTCTAGGGTGACATTTAGCGTTAGGGTTAAGGTAGGTTTAGGTCTAGGGTCTCGGTTAGGTTAGTTATGGAGGGATTGGTGCAAGGAGTCACCAATTTTAGTGCAGAAAGTCACCGATTTGGTGCAGCCAGTAATTGGATGCTCTGGTCCAGCTACGTACCAGGTATAGGAGTGTACCCGGATTATCAGGGTACTGTCAATACAGCGGTACGGGTACAGACCCCGGTACAGCATAGACTGTGATCAGCGGTCAGCGCTCAACGCTTTGGCGTTGTGCACTTCCAGGGAAGGTAATCGCCTCCACACCTATTGTGGGTACACCTGCGATCGCACTCTATGCCTTTTTTCCCTTACGATCTCTGCCACGGGCCGTGTGTTTGCAGGACATTCAGCAAAGCCGGGGAGATGGAATCGGGGAATCCAACCAGGTGGATTCCGGTCCTGCGTGGTCACTGACAAGAGGTGGAGCGGATTGAGGCAAGGATGCTGGCGATAGGTCCTGCAACGCACAGTGAGGCTTGATACACCCGATCTCACAGTTTGTTGCTCCTCTTGTTATCTATTACCGTGGTTGTTGCTATTTGCAGCATTACGTGGTGTCTTCTATTCTGGATGGTCAACGTGATGGTCAACCAATAATCGCTCAAACCTCCTGGAATCGTTCCTGTGCCCTCCAAACGCACCGCCCGTGGAAGAGGGCGTCAGGCGAGGTGTAGCGCTGTCGTCACGGGCTCCAGTAGACAGCGCTCAGCCAAGAACTGCGGAGCCCCGCCGGCCGCCATCGTGTAGTCGGCGCCGGGAGAGTCTTCCGCACCCGGGTATATACCCTCACCAGGATACTGGCTGTGGCCAGGTACACCCACTGCCTAAATCCCGGTACCCAGACTCAGATTTTGAGCCAGGATACCATACCTAGTATGGAGGATTTAATTGAAAACAAGCTGCCCTTTTGCCAATTAACCTTAGGCCAGGGATGCCTTTACTGTGCCGGCAAATTTCAAGTCAAGGAATTGCAGGTTTATTATTTGTGCCGTAAACACAGACCGTTATTTACGTTTTTACGCTTCAAACTATTTTTATGTTTTTGCGAGTACAAACTCGTAAAAATTCGTAAATACAACATAACAACAGCCCCTTGTACATAAGGACAGTATATACAGCCGGACTTTGGGGAATGGCATTCAGACGAATTGGAATGGTCAGGAAAAGAATTTTTTCCCACTCCATCGTGGCCTTTGCCGAATGGGAAGTGGACGCTGTGCTGTGGGCGCTCAAGGGGGCGGAGTACTGATCACCGCACGCAACTTCGATCGTGTAACCTGGATGTCACGGCGAGCCGCAAAAACGTAAAAACAGCTAGTAAAACAGCTTTTGCAAATTTACGTTTCTACAGGTGAAAAGTTAACGTAAGAATGTATACGCAAACGCAAATAACAAGCCTGGAATTGAAAGATGTCCGCGAGTTTCAGAGCCATGCACAGATGCACAAATTTGAGAACTTTTGCTCGCAATTAAATGCACAACTATGAAGCACCTAATGTACATAAGCGAGCCTAAGTGCAAATCCTGATTCCGATGCTTTCAGCTCCATTCTGCTGCAAACAATATGCAGTTCACCAGGTAAAAAAGGGCCAAATAACGCGTGTTCAAACGTGTATAAAATTTACGGGTTTGTGTTATTTTTGTGTTTTTGTGTGCACAACTTTGATGAAATGTGTTTTACGTGTGTTCGCAAAAGTGCTATTTGGTCCTTTTTTTCCTAGCGGTCATGATACATGGAGACGACACCGCCTCCCCTTGCAAACTAGAATTGAATTTTGGCATTCCCTCCGCCAAGGCGCTTAAAAAAACTAACTGCTCGGAGGGCTCACAACATTTTGCATTCAACACCACTCTACCAAGTGCGTACCGGCATGTAGTTGCATATAAGCACAGCTAGGAGCGCTTGGGGATAATTAGGGGTTGGGTTAGTTGCACCCTTCCTTCCCAAACTTGGGACAATTTGCGACATCGCTCAAGGCCACTGAACGCAGTCGGCAACTTACTCACGCACCCTGAACTTGACGCACATCTCAAACCGCATGCTCGTAAGTCCAAAAGACAGATCCTCCTCATTGCCTCCCTGCGTGGTGAAGAGATCCGTGGGCCAGAAGGACAGCAGCATGTTCCCCGCGGGCGTATAGCTGCTTACGTTTGCCAGCACCCGGAATATCCACTCGCTGCGCCCGACCTCCGCCAATCCCTCCGCCTCGCACGCCTCCGGTGGGGTGGGCAGCGCCGGGGCGATTCTCTCCGAGATGGTAATCATGCGCCCTCCCGCTGCGAATTGACGGAAACCGCAACCCATGAATCAGATACTTCCTTGCCTGGCCACATTTCGGACCAATTATCCAATTTGATGCATTGAATTTACTGAAATCCTCCCAAGTTCACTTGGCTCCATCTAAATCCTCACTTTCAGGAAGAAGCGCTTTCCCGCTCAGTTTTCAAACAGTCCGACATCGCTTTGGATGGGACCATTCAGAACAACAGGAGAGAACGTATCTTCTGAAGTGCATGTACGATATACATCGTCTTACTTGCATACTGCATTACTTTGCCTGTGTGTTTTGCCTTTATTGTACAGCAGCCTCATTTCTTGTGACATTCTTCATAAAGAATGGCACCAGCAATGACACTGCATCACAATACAGTCAAAACACATAGGCAAAGAAATCAATTTGCATTTAGTTACAAGAAAGCAAGCAAACAGGCACTCGATTCACCTAAAAATGAAACGTTTGAGACGCCCGCCGGGAAGGCGTCGCGACAGCCTTCGCTGAGGCATAGCTCGTCGTCGAAGTCCCCCCCCACTGGGGTCGCCAAAGGCTCCTGGTACACTCCTGTCCAGTCGCCCTCCAGGTCCTCAGGCGTCAAATCGGTTAGGAAAGGGATGTCCGTGGTGGTGACGTTGAGTTGAAACAGCGACCTTCCCTGCAACATGAGGAACGCACGGCCATGGGATCACCCTTGGATCACCACAGTGTTGCCGCCATGATCTTTACCGTGAAGGACATGGGTTCGAATTTCCTTGAACCGAGAGATGCCTAGAATGGGACTGTTGTCCGCAAAAAACACGGAGGCTCGTGTCTGCACGTTGTTCCTCTGCTGCCTGTCAACCGTAATGTGTCGAATTTGGCATGCGGCCATTGGCACTTTTCAAAGCTTCGATTCCACCAATGTGCACTAATAGCGGGTTGAAACAGTATGCTACTCAATAATCGTCAGATCTGGCACACCTCTGGCTCCTTTTTTTTGGATGTGACCAACGGGATGCCCACGTGTTGCCTTTCAAGGACGTCAACCAATCCGCTGATCTCCCATATGTGGCCAGCACATCCTAAATCCATCGAGAATCCAAACAACGGAAAATGACAGCGACTATTTTTTCGTAAGGAGTCCGAGCCAGTGTTCTGTTCCCGACAGTGCCCCGCCACCCAGAAGGCGGCACGGGCCACTGCCAAGGGGCGCCGCTAGCCTTTCCGGGAAAGGCGCCTTCGCCGCTATGACACCCAGCCTTGCCGACAGCGATATCCGCGCGACGGGGCCCACGTGTGAGAAACGGCCAAAGAACGCGTGACGCTGTGCACTTTCACGCGATCCCCACCCACCCGCTACCGGACCCGCATGGTCTGCTGGCTCGCTGGCTTGGAAGGCGTTTTTGCACGACGCACGTCGATCATGCATTTTCAATCCCCGTGCCACCGCTCCCGGGACATGGGTCTGGGGGAATTGGCGCCGGTGGCGTGGCGCCTGGAGAGGGCCAGCGCTCAAGAAACGGCCAGGCCGCCTCCAGGCGCGCAAAATATTCTTGAGTGGTCAATGGGCCGGCCCAATTTTTCTGCATTTGCCTAAGAGCCTGACGGGCCGCGCCGTGCTTTGAAACCAAGCCTGCCCTGCGTTCCAACGCCCGAAAGGAATCGTCAGCGCGTCGGCGGGCACACTGTGCGACGCGACGGTGCCTTGAAGTTTGAAGGCCGGGGACGACTCAGGGGTCCACCACACGGGTGACGCCACACCTGCGATCCCCGCCCAACCGCACGCGGGAACCCGCATGAATATTCGAACGCATGCACCGCCAAGGGGGTGAAAATTCCCCAAATGAACGGCCATGTGTCGCAGCACGCCTCCTGGCGCGACCCAGAAAAGAGCCGTGCCGATCCTCTGGTGAGTGAGCTCCGACAACTCGTCTCCCACGCCGTCCCGATCCCCGAATGGCTTACGTGAGGCGGATCCAGCGGACGGCCAGCCGTTGGCGCCACGGGCAAGAGAATGGCCCACAAAGCTAGGGCAGTCACGGAGGGGACTGCTGACCAGCGCAGGGCGGCCATGGAGCGTCGCTTCGCGGGGGTGGCTAGGGGACGGGGAGGCGGGGGGCGGCTGGTGGGACAGCGCGATGCCACACTTGCTAACGGCCTGGTTGGGGGCGCGTTTGACGTCGGTGTAATGTGTGCTCTTGGGTAATTTAGTGCAAGCGATAAAAACACGTGTCCGAACAGGCACTCAATCCTGTTACCTCCAATGGGGTTTCCCGCCGCTGTACTAAACCACCTGGCCATTGGCAAGGAAGAGGGTAGCCTAACCCCTCTAGTACGCGCCTCCGCGGTAAACTATCGGCTTGTACATGAGCGCGGTAGGCATGAAATTAGTCACTGTGTCATTTTTGTCATTGTCGATTCTTGTTTTGTTGATGAGGCTGATGTGGTTCACTGGTCGTAGGTCCTAAGTTCTGGTACCGGCAGTCGTTACAGCTGGGCTGTCATGGGCTTCGTGCCGGCCACCACAGGGAGAGGGGACGGATGGTGGGCACGGTCACAAGGCAGCAATGGCGGCCGGCGATCTGGGTTCCACCGATGGGATTTCCCACCTGTTCGGGTCGCCAATTAAAGGGGTTCATCAAAAAATTAGTGCATTAATGATATCACTCAGTTGGCGACCCATAAGGTCTGGACATGGTGCAGAGGGGATGTCGACGGCCTCAGCATCTTCGCCACACTGATCACCATCAAATTGCGAGCTCAAGGCACTCAGAATGCGGGGAGATGACTGTGACGACAAAGACATATGATGGCAACTTCATCATACGCCCAAAGAGTTCGCTAAGATATTACAAAGCTGCTGAGCACAACGCCAATACGTGGCAGCGCATCACACAGAGACACATGAGTCAAACATACCCCGAATACGCCTTGGAGTACTGAGGAACACCCAGGTTGCCATTGGACATGTGCATTTGTTTAAGGGCAGCCCGCCTGGTGGCCTGCTGTGGACCGCGGCGAGATGGAGCCAGGGGCGCGTGGAGGCGCCACGTGGTTGTACGATAGTAATATGTCCTGTGGGGCATTACGTGGTTGCTGACGCGGGAAGTGTGTTTGTTAGGTGGGAATGTGGCCCTTAGGGCACTACATGGTTGCTGATTGTGGGCAGCGGGGCGTCCTTCGTTGAGTTGTGGTGAAGCGGTGGCCGTGGCAGAAATATTCCGGGTATCAAAAGAGCATCCCTTAGGAATGGGGGGCATTTGCCAGAGCTTGGGGGCTTACAAGTACTAGGGGCGCGGATAGCGCTGTGGGGGAGTCTCCATTGTTGCACCTGGCATGGCAGCTGTAACAACGGTTGCGTGGGGTCCGCGTGTGTGTCTCGCACGCGGTCTAGGCGCTTGGCCTGGCTGCCTGGCCCCCCTGGCCGTGCCCGCAACATTCGCCATGGCCTGAGCGCAATAGCGCTCGACCTTTTCGAAGGTCGCGGCCAGTCTGGGCCGTGTTTTCAAGGCGCTTCCTTGCTGTTCGTGACCAGCACTACCAGCGCCGTCGTGCTGCTGGCCAAGAGTGACCACCATTCGTCGCTGCACAGCTTCGCTGAGGCGGAGAGAAGCATCTTTCGTGTATTGTGTCGCTACGATGTGGACAAGGCAGCCCTGACCCGTAGACCTGACTTGCGTTTTGACTTCGTCGACTATTGAGGAGCAGTTGCGACCGGTTGGAGCGCTCTGAGCCCCAGCTGCAAGAGTTCCCACAAGCATATTTGCATGGTTGGCTGGCAGTGGGGGTTTTGCTACCCGTTTGAAGATTCCCCTTGCCGCTGTGTTGTTGGTCGTGTTGGCGTGCCAAGCAGTTCTTTGTGAAGAGCCGGTTCGCGCGAGGGGCAGAGCTTGTTCGTTGGGTGCGTCCTCAACTGATGTGGTGCTAAGGCTATCGACATGTCTCAGCTGCCCGCCTGAGGGTGACTTTACTGCGCTATCTCCGGGGACGACGGCGAGACTGGACCGCCGTCCTTTGCACGCCGCTCTATTAAAACACCTGACCAGGGGCAGGGAAGAGGGCAGATAAATTCCTTAGTACCTGCAGGGAGTGTGGTCCCGCCGGTTTGAGATGCCGTGGGAGAGCAGCGAAGTCATACTTTCCAGCGGCCTTCACAGAGGGGCATTTGCCATTCGTCTGAGGTGTGTTCCCGTAGATAGCGGTGGCGAACTGTGCCTCTACTCAAAATTATTTGCAATGGGCATAGAGGGTACATGAAAGCACGTATGACATGCACTGTCTTATTTACTTATTGAATTGCATACTAAATTATTTTCTCTGTAGGTTTTGCCCGTACGGTCAACACGCGTGTTGTGTCGTAGCCATGTTTCTGTTGCCATTCTTTATAAGGAGTGGCACGAGCAATGACACTGCGGCACAGTGCAATCAAAGTCTACAGATTATGAGAATTAATTTGCATTTAGCTAAGAGCAAGCAAGCATACGGGCACTTGAACCCACCTGAAAATGATACGTTCGTCACGGCAGCCTTTGCTGAGGCACACCTCCTCGTTGAGCATCCCCCCCAGCGGGATTGCCTTGTTATCAATAAAACTTCCTGACCAGTCGCCCTCCAGGTCCTCAGGCGTCAAATTTATTAGAAAAGGAATGTCCGTAGTGGTGGCCTTGACCTGGGGCAGCGACCTTCCCTGCAGCAGGAGAAACGCGTGGTCATTGGATCACCCCATCCTTGCCATCAGGATCGCCACAGTGAAGGACAGGGGCTCGAATTTCCTCGAATCATAGGAATGCTAAGAATAGGACCACCACCCGCAAAAGACGTGTGGGCTTGTTTCCGCCGTACTTCTTGGCGAACATAATCTGCTGAAGTTGGCACCCGGGCATTGGCAGCCAATGCCCTTTGGCAGAGGTTCGCCTCCACCAATGTGCACAGCCTCGTGCATTGAAACAATATGCTATTCAATAGCCATCCAATACCAGATCTGGCAGGCATATGCTGCCGAGAATACATTAGTCCCTCAGT